GGCTCAAGGGCTGGAGCTGTGGAGGGATGTTGAAGGATGCTGTGTCTTGCTGGTATTTTTGCACCGACTTACATACACCTCTATGAATAACTGTACGAATTGTACAGCAATGGCAGATAACGCCTAGATCTCCAAATCTGGTTCCACAACTTTTCTGGGTTGCAAAATCAGTAATTCTGTCATAACTAGACAGTGAATTGTTGTCTGTGTAAGGGGACTTACCATGGTAGAGCAGGGCTGTTTCTTGCACGTGTCCCATCAAATAAAAGATTTGTCTGCAAAGGAGGAAGCACTGGGCCAGAGCATCTCTGTAAGCTGATTCTTGGCTAGAAGACAGAGTGAAGGAAAGGTCTTTGGTAATGTATTGGGGTCACCCAGTGCCAGGACCAAGTAAAAGTGAAGGGCAGTGTTAATGCCAGCTGAGTACTCTTTCTCCTCCTGGGTGCACACACATGACTGTAGCGGCTACTGCAGCTACCATGGAATGGACAGGAGGGAAGCCCTTATCTTGTCTATTGGTGCTTATTGAGCTTCGGTCTGCTTCAGTGTTACAGGATTTGGGATCGTATAGAGATTACCTCTTCTCTTATGACCAAGTTCAGTAACATGGCAGAAGCCTAAATGGTGAGCTGTGTTACCTGAAGGACTGTTGTATAAAATTATGTTCTTACAGATGAGCTGAGAGGGCATAGCCCAACATCTGATCTTCTGCCAGGGACGCAGAGAGGAGCCTGTGCCCCATATGAGACCTGTGCTACTGGAAAGCAAAGGCTTACACGTCATGCTTCATTTAATGGCACACAGCCCTGTGAAGGGACTAGAAGGAAGGTCAGTTCTGAGCCCAACAGCCCACGTCGAGAGAGACAAGGTAACTACTAAGGAAGCATGTTCTTTTGTATCTCGCTGGATCTGCCCAAATTTAAGGCACTTGATTGTGTCAATCAGCCTAATTAAATATGTGAATTACCCTTGGGAGGTACCTATATTTGTACTGTCCATGTGATGAGACTTGTGTTTTGGACCCTCCTTTCAAGTGCCTAAAGTTAGAGGAGACGAATCTGGGCCATACTGCCTTGAATCTTCAGTTCGTTTTCTGGTAAATGTTTCTGTTCTCCACTAACTGCAACCGTACTACAGTTTCTTCTGTTAAAATCTGGTATAGATAAAGAAAGATTCTTTAGCCACAAAAGTTTATTTCACAGGTCCTAATATAGTGGAATTTACTGTAACAGTCTAATGGATAGCTGTTAAAACTGATAAAGCAATTACAGGGCTTTTCACAGTTCCCTGTTGTAGGAAATGATGATGTCAAGCACGTCTCCAGTGGGACTGAGTTCTGGGCGTCTTGTAGGTTCTGGCTCTAGGTGATTAGTGAATGTTATAAAAATGTGCCAGGATAGAAAAATTATTTTATGGCCAGTATCAAAGTATGTTTGGTAAATTGTTGTTAATTGAATGCTCCTTTATTCTTTCAGCCTGTGTCGTGAATTCAGATGAATATTGCTCCAAAATGATAAATCTAGCAGCTGTCTGCAAGCAGAAAATAGAGGAAGATACTAGGTAGGTTGGTCTTAACTCCTGTCCAGTTTCAACTTTGCGCTTGTCATGTTTAGTTTAAGGCTAGATGCCATTGATAGGACTGAGATAGAAAATTGCCAGAGTGTCTCATTGCTATATTAATGCTGATAGGTCTCAGCATGGCTTGCTTTTTTTTTTTTTTTGTCATGGCCAATTTATACCCACCTGTACTTGTACCAATGTTGTCCTTTAGCTTCAGTAGTTCTTCATCTCATGGCTGTTTGTATAGGTCATCCCTGCCTCCTTTGATTTGTTGTTTAGGTAGGCTGAGCAAATCATGATTCTGTGGAAGAACCTCTCTGTCACATCAGCGGGTCTTCTCTACACCTATCCTAATTTGAATTAATTTGTGAATGACTGACTCTAGTCAAGTGCAATTGAAAGCATTGCTGTTCTGCCAAAAAACTGCTAAGTCTGCTTCTCTGTAATTAGAAATAATAAAAAGTGACCCTCCTTGTAAACTCTGTAAAAGCAGTGGTTGGAGGGGGAAATTTTTCCACATTTATGTCCAACAGTGTACCTGTTTGCTTTTAAGGATAAAATAGGGGGTTAATTTTGGACTAAATGTTTTTCCTCTTTTCATTACTTTTTTTTTTTTTTAGGAATAAAGCTTGTGCCACAGAAACGATATTAAATTCAGCAAGGAACCCAAGCATAACCTCACCTCTCTCCCTTCTTCCAGTTCCTGGGGACTCTGATTTTTGTGTTAACCCTTTGCCTCAGGCAGTTTTCCCTGTGGTTCAGGCAGATGTCCCAAGCCTCTCGCTGCCAAATGGCATCAGCAGCCAAACTCTACATCCTTCCACGCCAGTAGCCTCCAAAACCGAAAACGGAAAACCTACCCTGCTCCCCAACCAACCCTTCCTGTGCTTCCCCTCTTCATCCCTTTTTATGTTGTGTGGTGGTCTTCAGGAAAATAACTTGAGGGAGACCCTGCCCACCACAGGAGACGTGGGAAACAGGAGGGCAGAAGCCCAGGCTGCCGCACCTCCAGCTGCCTGCCAGAAACGCTGCTCCCACAAGTGCGCATCGCCCTCTGCGCCTGCAGATGATGAAGAGCCAGCTGCTAAAAAGCAGACCATGGAACAGAGCGATGTGCCCCTCTCACTTGTAGTACCCAAGGTAAAGAAGTGAATTTCATTATCACTTAGGCAGCCTGGTAGCGAGGAAAGACTTTTGCCCAAGACTGTGTTTTCAGAAGTGAAAACTCATGACTCCGCTCTTGTTACAGCTACAATTGCTGCCTCCCACCTGTTAATAAAATCGTAAGGGTGCTGTGCCAGGAAGTATAGGCATTAAGTGGGAGATGTTTTCACACTACCAGGGGAAAATAGACTGTGATTGCTCTGCATAGTGAAGTGATGGTCAGCTGTCTTTTGTAATCAGTGTCCTGATCAGTGTCTTCAATGAAACTGCCTGCCAGAGGGGAAGAAATCAATGTGGCTATTACTCCTCATCTTCCTCTGTTAGCTTGGGCTTTCCCAGACAACAGCGGCATTGCTTAGTCCGCTGAGCTACACCAAATGTGATTTGTACTTTCCCCCTACTCTCCAGCCTGTGTCTCTATTTCTCCTGCCCAGTGTTGCCCACAGCAGGCTGGTGAGAGAGGAGATGATGGTGAAGGTGAAGTGCATCTATCTCACAATTTTCTTAACTACTGAAAATGGGGGTCAGGCTCAAGTTTCAGTGTTTGAATGTAAGCCATTTGAAACTGGTATTTTTCCTTATCAATGAAGAGAAAAAAATCCCTAAGCTCGGGTATTTCTTGTCCAGTGTCTCCAAGTACTGAAAGTGAACTACAGCACAGGGCTTAGGCATCACTGGTATTGCTCTTGAAATGCTCAAACAAAATTTTTAACTTGGTGACTTGCTAATGAGTTTTGTGCTGCCCCTTTGCACAGATGCACATTTTACTCTGTAGCTGAGGAAAGAGCATGAGAGACATTGTACTGTTCTATTTCGGTTTGGACTCATCATTTCCTCTTTTGTTTTTGCTTGGAAGCCTTTTAAGTCACCCAAGGCAGAATCTACCCCAGGAAGTGGTTGTACATCTGCTGAACATCTAGAAGCTTTTCATCCTGACCTCGCAAGTCCTGCTGCTCCAGAGGCTGCAGACAAGGAGTCTACTAAGCCTTTAGATTCTCAGGAGCAAGAAAAACGGTCTCAGAATAAAGACCCTGATGAACCCTCTTCAGGAAAAGAGCACATCTCTAAAGAAAATGCCAATCAACCTTTCCTACCACAGTATCTTTATGTTCGGCCTACTGCTGGTAAGGACAGCCATAAGATCTAGATGCACTTGAACTTCTGCATCTGTTTGCTGACCTCTTCAAATAAGTAGACCTACAGATAGGTGAATAAGTCTATATTTGGCACAAAAACTGTCTGCAGTTTTCTGTAGTAGTTTAATAGTTCTGAATTCTTTTGACTCCAGGTGAACTATTTCTTCTGTGAAAATACAGGCATTTTTCTGAGGTACCCAGACGTTAATTGAGCTGAATAACACACGGGGGTTTCATGCTTAAATTATGTGCAGCAAAAAAGACACCTATCCAGCATTCAAAACTCAGAGGACCTGGAATTCTAGGTTTGGCAGTAAGGCGGCCAGAGTAGCGCAGCAGCATCCCCTGAGTGGGTAAATTTAGTCATCTACGAACTTTGTACTGTCTTGTCACGTGTGTCATTGGGATAACCCCACAAAAACTGAAGCACTGGGAGTGTAGCCAGGCCTGCTTGTAGGACACAGTAGGGATGAGGAAGAAGTAGCTGAAAATACTACAAGAGGATTTTGTGCCCACCATTTTCTATGCCTGTGCTGATGTGGAGTGGAAGAGTGTTTTGTGGGAACAGGATACATGTGGCAAATTCCCGTGACTAGTGCTTTAGTATTTGATTCACTTGTGGCACAGAGTGGGGTCTATGGGCTTTCACTGTAAGGATGGAGATGCTCAGTTTGAAAATGTTGATTCTGTTGTTTTGCAAAGTCAGACGAACTGGGAACTGGAGCAGCTTCTGTTTCAGAACAGTGTTTCAGCCATTCTCAGGAAAATTAGTGCCTTTGGGGTGTATCTTTGTGGGTGTTTTCCTTTTCTTCTTTTTTTTTTTTCTTATTAAAAGCAATGAATGTTTTCATATAGCAGAGGGTATGATTCCTGTTACTGAAAAAAGTTTGTTTAGCCAAGATGTTGCTTGTAACTAAAGTTAAAAGCAGAAAACAGCAAGGTGTGTGGTTGGTACTTAATGTTAACAAAGTAAATGGATGCAGATACAGTGAACAGGCAGTAGGGGGGGAGATGGAGGAAGGTAAGGAAAGGGAACTTGACAGAAGAGTCACAGGTTTGTGACAGTTTTCTCCCTTCTTTCTTCTTATTGTCACAGTTTTCTTCCTGGGCAGCCTGTCTCTTTGTTGTCATCCCTCTTTCCTGTTCTAGATGAAGTTATAATAGCTTAACTCCAATTTGTCAACTGTATTAATGCCTTGCTTTTTCTCTCTTTGGTCTAGGATTAAGCAGTTTTAATTTCCTGTTCTCTACAAACCAAGCCCCTGGTGCTATCAGCCTGGCTGCGAGCCAGTTACCTTCTCTGAGCGTCCCCTGTGTCATGGTGCCGTCAGCAGCCTTGGCTTCCTTCCCTCTCGTCTGTTCTCCCGCAATCACCAGTCCTCTTTCCCCAGTTCCCGATGGCTCCTTCTCAGCTGCCACCTCCATGAATTTCAGTATGTCTGGCCTGGCATCAACAACTCCTGTTTTCATAGGCACCACGACAGTGGTGACCCCCAAGGTCTCACCCGTGCCTTCGGTGGATCCCCAACAACCAGCTCACCCCGCTCTGCACCTGAGTCCCGTGCTTGCAAGGTCTTGCGGTGCTGTTAAACTGGACTCCCCCGTGTGTATGGGGCATCCGGTGACCCTTCTGAAGCTGCAGCAGGTAAGGGTGAAAGGTGTTTGAGCGATGATGAAACAGCGGTGCCAGGTCACAGGGACTGAAGGCAGGTTGCGCTGCAGGCTGGTGCCGCTGTGTCAGAGCAGTAAGTTGGCACGCTGGGAGCTGGTGTCTTCCACTTAGTCTGTGTGTCCATCTGTAGTGGTGGCAACGCTTGGGACAGTGTTAAAGACATAGCCTGGCATAGCACGTCTAGCCTTGAACGGTGAACTGGTGAGTTTTAGAAATCTTACAGGAATTTTAAAATCATAAAAATCTTAATCTTTAAAAATCTTACAGGAATAGAGAAAAAGAAGTTACACGTTTTTTCCCTCCAAGAAATCTGAGGTGGTATTTTTTCCCCATTTGACGATATCATTGTGTGCTACTCAGTGGTTACAGAAATGCACTAGGTGGACAGGAGGATTGTTTGTCATAATTCAGGGGTGAGCTGGCTGCAGCACTTCTCAGGTAGCAGTGTCCCAGGTTACCTCCTCACTCCCATTCTGATCTCTCTGCACCAAATAATGGAAACATAATAGCAGCATCAGAAGTGGGGGAAGACAATGATTCTTGTAGGTTTTGTTGATCTTTTTTATAAATATATTATAAAAGATGTAGCATAGAAACAGATTTTTTGAGTAAAAAAATGAGAAATTCAAAAGTGAAAGACTCATCTGAAATGAGTGATGTAAAACAGTCGTGTCACGCTGTTACCTGGGTCTTTACAACTATTAACAGTGATGGTTTTGCACTACATTAGCTTACGTTCTTAAATCTGTGATTTGTTTTCCTATTGTCTAATGCAGTGACAAATAGATTGAACTTTTGGAAGCTTTATGAACGTTACTTTATGTTTATTCTGTTCAAGCTTTAGAAAAAGGCTGTAATAGAGACTGGTTGGCAGCCAATCTGGTTACAGATACTAGCATTAGAGGTTACAGTAAGAGTGGCACTTAAAACAGAAATGGCCAGGGTTTAGGAGACTATTTTTAGCTCTGTGCTGATGCTAGCAAATAACAAAAGCGAGTAAAACATCAAGGAAGGGAAAGAGCTATTTAAACTAAAGGACAAGATTGGCATAAGAATGAATGAGTATGAACTAGTCATGAATACATTTAAGTTGGAAATGAGATAGAGGCTTTCAGCTTCCAGCAATGATGTACTGGCAGACAGTTCTAGAACAAAAAGCAGGGGCAAAGCCTGTAGCTTTTTATGTGGAACTTCTAAAAGAATGTGAGACATGGTTCTTTATAGTAGCAAGGTACCAGGTTTAATGTCTACAAGCTGTCTTCTGTTTGCGTGCTTGCATGTAGGCTTTGAGAAAAGCATCCTGAATCGCTTTGGTTTTGTTTCACAAATAGCCTTCATCAACTCCCCTCACTCCCAAGAGCATTCGTCCTGCACGTCATGAAGCATTTTTCAAAACTCCCGGAAGTCTTGGAGATCCTATTGCATGGAAGAAAAGTGAAGGCAACCAGACCAGAAATGCCAGCTCTGTGCAGAGGAGACTAGAAATCTCTAGTACCAGCCCTGACTAACTCCACTCATTGCAAAGGGTGGGCAGATTGTCCTAGGACCCTGTATCGATTACAAGAGAACAAGCTCTTACCTGGCAAAAAGAGCGCATTAAAATGTCATCCTTTCTGGCATGCTTCCCTGCTATCTATTCACCCACCGGTTCCGTTAACCACCTTCTTCACAAATCATCCTTGGTACTGAAAACCTTTTACTCAATTGTTCCTTCAGTACTGATTTGAGTTCAGATTCTGTGCTTCACATGGCCTTGTGGGCATCAAATTGTATTTGGGGCTTTAATTTGGAAAACTATTGCTGTGAGGAGATGCAAATGGATTTTCTTGGAGTCCCCAAGGGTTCTTTAGTCATGGTTTTAAGTGAGATGTCTAGCACTTATCTGGGGCAAGCATGTTTTTTGCATGTACTCTACTTACCCCGAGTAAATCTGTGGTGAAATTGATAAACTCCTGCGGCTGTGAGAGCAACTGCTTCCTTGGTTCCAATCTGTTAAATCCTGCCTCCGCAGTGCAGCCTCTTGCTATTTATTTTGTATGTTGGAGTGGGATTTTGTGCAAAAAAAGGTTTTTTGCAGCTTCAGAATAACAGATTTTCTCAGGGTAGGATTACTTGAATGTCAGTTGGTTGTTGTACAATTTGCCCAGCACTTGTGGTTAGCAAAACCTAATAATAACACAATATGATTGAATGTATACATGTGAAAAATACTAAGACCAAAATAACTGTGAATGTTAACAATTTTATAAGTGTGCTAATGAACTGTATTAGTCCTTGGGTTTGTTTTTTTTCTTTTACTCTGAGCAAAATGTACAAGTTAGACATAAAGAATACAAAACTTGTTTCCATAAATAAGTTTGACAAAGTAATTTGAGAGTGACAAGCCACTGAGAGGGCTGTGCTAAGATTTCATCTCTCCTTGGTCCAGTGACCAAGGAACACTGCTCATTAACCACATGATTAGATTCAGTCTAACTTGAGTCTGCTTAAGTGCCTACTTAGTGGCTTATTTAAGGGGTATGTACTTAAGTGCCTAACTCTTCACTTAGGGGAATTTTGTAACTAGTTAATAGTGCATTTGAGTGTACTTGGAAGACAAGGGAGATCTTATCTTTTGGCGAGTATCTATCTAAACCATACAAAGACGCAGAAAAGAGCAGGATTCGTAAATTTTGGAAGCGGGAAAAATTATCTGTGTTCCTTAAGAGAAGATAAAGAGGAAAAAAAGTATAACAGTCAACATTCAAAGTCCTCAAATAATGAATGGTGCTATTAATAACATAGGACATAATTTTAAGAGTTAGTGCTCTTATGCTTGGGTATGTTTTCACTCATGTAGCAAACTGCAATTAAATTTGTGCAGTTCCCTATTGAAAAGACAGAAAGTGTTGCTGTTGACATCATGTTACTCTGGATTTTTAGCAAACATAAGGCCAGCGTTATCAGCTCTTCTCATTGGTACTGGTTTTCCAAGGGTAGATACACTGTCGGATGTGCTATTTTGTTGGTCAAGGGAGGCTAGGACTTTGTTTGAGGGTTGGGGATTTGATGAGGTTTTTTATTTTTGTAATGAAATGTATTATGAAAATGGAATTTAAGAAAGAATGTTAGTGAAGCTGGGAGTTTGAGTAATGTGGCCTTATCATAGAATAGACCAATAACAGCCTTTTAAGGAGGGCTGATCAGCCCTCATTGAAAGAAAATCTATAGTAGAATTATCGTAGGAAATTTCAGGGGTGGTAAAGAGAAATCTTCAGACTGCTAAATTTTAAGGTTTGTGGTTGGTTGGTTTTTGTTTTTTTTAAATTACACTACAGTTGTGAAAGTTTACAGATTTTGCTTCTGAATTATTTCTTATACGCCCACATAAATGAATTTCACTTTGAAAAGCAATGTGTAATTGGCATGGTGCTGCCCCTGCACTTCTGTTTTAGCAAGCGTTTGTTGCTGTTGGGGCTGGAAACAGGCTGCTGGGGTTCCGGATGACGTGGTGGATGTTGATTCTCCAAACCTTGTCTTTTCCCTTCCCCTTTAGTACGGTGCAGCCTTTTAGTGAAAAGGCAGCTGAGAGCAGAGAGGAGGGTTAGAGCTAATATTGGCTCTTCACTCCAGTTGAAGCATCATCGCAAAAATCAACTTTCATTGTCAGTAATGTTCTTCTGTGACATAACTAACCTAACTATACTTGAAAATGCAGGGACTGAAAATGGTTCTTCAGTTTCCAATTTCAACTAACAGTTTTGAGTTTCCATAAATACAGCAGGTCTGGAAATGAGGATCGACTCCCTCACAATCAAAGCTGTTTGATGGGTCATGGTTGCAAAAGCAGATTTGGGCCTGGGAGAAGAAGGGGATTGGTATGCTGTCTTGTCTTTGTCAATGCAAAATTCTCATGAAAACAGGAGTGGGACCACCGAAGCAGTCAGGCAGCAAAGGGATCAACGCTACTTGCAGTACCTGAGCTGCTGAACTACACCGGTGAGGGGGAATGAGTTTACCTTTCCTATCTTTGCCTTCACTGAAAGCTAAGAAGTAAAATAACCTAGGAACAGCTCATCAGCAGAGTAGCTTCAGAAAAGCAGAATTTGTATTTGCACTGAGGCAAAGTGCGTACCCAGGATGTTCTGCAGGGTTTGTGAAACCTTCCTGTCCCAAGACAGTTGCTGAGGAGGGTGAGCATATAACTTATACTTGAATCTACCTGCCACGTTTACATTTCTGATTGTCTTTTGTAAATTGGTGCTATTTCTGTATTTAAAAAGCTGTATTTTTAATGTAAAGCTGCTTCCAGTTTGTATCTTTGCACTGCTAGTTTAATATCTATATTAATTTTATTGCTGTTTATAACTGTTCTTCAGTGATTAGACGTCCTGCTTTTCCTGCTCTCTAGCCATCTTTTTAGCTGTCTGCATATAGCTTTACTCCAATCACACTGTTGGGTTGAATATTATTTTTTTTATACTATCTTTTAGCAAAATATTAAACTTTTACAGAATAAAAATGGAATTAAAACCGAGGCTGAGGCTGTGATTTCAGTATGGAGAGTGCCCTTGAAAAGAAACATCCATCCACCGTCCATCCAGGTGAGCAGTCCCTGTTGGGTCTGAGCACCAAATAAATAGCAGAGGACGACAGCTCGGCTATTTTAGGCAGCACAGGCATGATTCCCACTCCAGCTGTTGCAGGTACAAGGACCAGTTCAATGCAAACTGGCTCTTAAAGTCCTGGAGCTGGCCAGGGGAATGCCTGATGGCCCAAAACCACACGAGGTGATCCCCAGCCCCATCACTGCTGTGGAGCCTGCCCCGTGGCCCCACAGCCATCCCTCGGCCCGGCTCTCCACAGGATGGCAGCAATGCCTGCCCGACCACGGTCGCAGATACCCATGAGCAAGGCAGGCTCTGATGCAGAGGCCGGTTTCCCACAGGCGGAAGCCGGTGTTTGCTTGTCCCTGCTTATTAACCACCAACCCCTCCTAAAAAACAGAAGTGGAGAACGTGACCATAGCCCCGTTTCCCTTTCTCTTCCCCTTCCCTAATCACGCTGACACATCTAAGACACAGCTTCACCCAAACCCAAGTTTGCTCCCATTAGAATCAGTATCAGGTTCACTATTGATTTCAGCAAGCCCAGTATCGCCCCTCTCCCCCCTGTAATTAGAGAGATATGAGTTAAGGTCCTGCGTCACCAACAACAACGGCAGCAAAATCCCTGTGAGTTGCGACTGGCCAAGTTCCTCAAGACTCATTTCTAAAAGGAAAACTCAGCAGCTCACTCAATATTGTTTTGGGAGTTTTATGACCTGTGACTCCTCCAACTATAACTCCCTTTCAACTGTCAGAGGAAGGATGGTAAGTTTATTAAGACCAAAGATGGTACGAGAAGCACTGACAAGCCCTAACCTTGCTCCAGCTCCCCTGGCAGCACCATGGCCATCGTTTCCTTATGCAGGAGCAGGGCTGTAGCTTCTAGCAGTTCTTGTCCTCACTGGTGCACTTAAAACTCCCCCTTTTGAAGTAAAAATTAATTACAGGGGAACAGCAAACTCCCTCTGATTTAGTTCTCCCTATAAAAAGGGAAAATTAAAAGCAGTGCTATTGTGGCTGAACGTCTTAATGCTCCACAGCCTGGGCTGGGCAGCCCAGAGTCAGCTGGGAGACAAAAATAGCCCCCAGATGCTGGAAGGTGTGGAACGCTGGAGGCAGAAGGAAAAGGGAAGCCTCCAGCGGGTGGCAAAGCAGAGCCACGTCCAGGGAAGCAGGTCTCCACCAGCCGTCTTGGTCAACAAGGAGGGTTTCCTGGGAGGTGCTTGGGCAATGGCAACGCTTTCTCCTTCCAGCCCAGAGAGTTCCTGAGCAAGGCTCCATGGCCTGCATGATAATTTAAAATTTAATAAAGGGGTAAAAAGAAAGGCTTTGTACACAAATCAGGCAAATTTAAGCCTGGTTCTGATCCTCTGGGAAGATCCATGTGGGCAGTAAGCATTAACGTCCAGATTCTTTCCAAATTGATTCATTGCACCAGAAATGCAATGAGAATTTAGGATATTTTTTCAAGCGCGTTCTCCAAGGCCTTCTGGAGTGATGAAATGAATCCTAATGGTGTCAGGCAGTGCTGGCTTAAGGTCCGTGAGCCCAAAGCCTTCCCCTGGTCCCTTTGGAGGCCACAGCGACTTTGCTGGTGAGCAGGCAAAAGGCTCCCTGGCTTGTCTGCAAAATGCCGTGACTTCCAAGTCTGATATCGCAAGACCTCCCAGGGGACAAAAAGGTCTGCCTCAGGTGGAGCTCCTCCATTTTACTCCATTTTCCAAATAAACAAAGTTCTCGTTTTCACCCTGAACATGAGATGCCAGACTTCATGCCTTTCCCCCATTTCTGGCTGGATATTTCTCACCCTGGATGTGACAGCAGTTTAATTTCATAGATGACATACCAAATTTGGGTAGAAGGGGAAGCATGAAACTTGGGGGGTTTTCCAACAGTTGCTTTCTTGTTTCAAAACTGACAGCTGTGAACCAGCAGTTTACAGACTTACCCCCCAGGTGTGGGGTGGGAAAAAAAAAGGGAAATCAAACAAATCTGCAATACATGTTAAATGCTGCAACTTGGTGTGTGCCTCTAA